AATAGTTTAAATTTTTTTAAAAATTATAAATGAAAAAAATGTAAATAAAAAATAAAAAAAGAAATCAAATGGCTTAACATGTGATAACCCTTGATATAATGTAACTCCTACAAAAAAATAAAATCTAAAATATCAGTTATTAAATATATAAAATTAAAAAAAATTTAAAAAAAACACGTAACATAACATTGATATTAAGTAAGTCATACACACAAATATATAAATATATATTTATTAACTTTTTTAGAAAGAGAAAAAAAAGAAAAAAATTAATATAAAGGGAACCCCACAAAGATATTTATTAAATATAAAAGGTAAAATACAAAAAGATGACATGTGGCACCCAGCAAAAAATAAAAATTAAAAAAAAAAGTCCATGAAAAAAATAATAAAGCTTTGGGTCAAAAAAATAATAAAAAAAGTTAAAATTTAGTTTATAAAAAAACTAAAAAGTTGAAAAAAAGAAAAACAAAAAAATGACACTCAATAAAAGAAAAAGATAAAAAAGGAAAAGTTTTGACACGTGGAATATGAATAGTAACATATGCATGTATGATTTATGTATAGAATATTTTTAATGCATTTATATATAGGTTTTTTTTAGTTTTTGTTTAGGGTATATCTAAAAAAAAATTAAAATCTGGAAGATTATTTATTAAATATATAAGAACAAAAGAATGGAAAAAATAAAAAAAAATTAATGACATATCCTTAGTATCATGTAAGTCTCACATAAAAAAACCTAAAAAAAGAAAAAGAAAATTAGCAATAAGTAGGTCTCACATACAAAAAATAAAATTTTAAAAAATTAAATATTTTTTATAATTTAAAAAATATTTATTAAATGTTAAAAAGAAAAAGTTAAAAAAGAAAAAAACCAAAAAATAAAAAACATTGAAAAACACAAAGAAAAATATCAACCTGTAGCAACAATACCGATTCATGCATCCGCACGATTTATATACATAGCATGAGACTACATTCCAACCACATTGGTAAATCATGGTTACTTCATAGTTGCTTTTGGCTCCCTTTGGATACAAACGTAATTACGGTATCGTAAATGCACTGGAGTTGAAAAATAGACTCGAGCCTTCATGTGTTCAGTGAAAATTTTGCATCTCCACCGGGGCTCGCTTCTCGTCTTCTCCCATAATTACCCCTAAATTTCTTTTTCTTTTTCTTTTTGCTTTTTTTACCAATTGAATTTCACTACAAAGACGAAAATATTCCTGTCACTTACCTTTTTTATTTTTTTATTTAAACGTTCAAAATAACCCTAATATAAATAAATAAAATTTCATAATTATATAATAAACTAATTAATAACTAAATAATTAAATTATTATTTGTTTATATATTTATTCAAGTTTTAATTGTTTATTATTTTGGCCAAAAAAGTTTTTACTAATTTATTAATTTAAAACAATGATTTGATATATTACAATCATTTTTATTAATTTTAATTATTTATAAACAAAAATATTATATGATATAAAAATACTTCAATAATTCATTAATTCCATAAATATCAAATATACTAAAATTTTTATTATATACAAACTTTAATCTTATTATTTGATATAAAATAATTTTGATAATTTTTAAATATTTATTAATTTTATAAATATCAAATTTAGACTATAAATTCTATTATACATAAATTTTAATATAATATCTTTAATAATAATTTTCTTTTTGCACTATACTTCATCCTATTACCATTATTAGGTTTACATTGAAACACATATTTCTAATACTAATTTTCTACAATAACCAGTCTCACGGGTTGAGTTCTTTCAAAGTTGCTTTTGTCCCCAAGTTGAATCTCCTACTGCTACAAATAATGCTTAGTACTTACGCATTTTGGCCAAAAAAAAAAAAGAAAAGAAAGCCATTTTAGCTTATAATTTCTCCTTTTCTTTTGTTGCTCCTAGAATAATGTGGCTGACACCATACACATTGTATTCATGGCTGTTGGATGGCAGCACCCAGAAAGATGGACCGTTTCGAGCAGTTTTCTCATTTCTGATTGCAATGTTAGTGATCTCATTGTGGTACCTCTGGACTAATAGGAAGTCAAACAAGCCAATTGCTCCGTTGCCGCCTGGCCCCCGTGGCTTGCCGATAGTGGGATATCTTCCATTTCTTGGAACTGACAATCTTCACCTGGTCTTTACAGAATTGGCTGGAGTCTACGGTCCAATCTTCAAACTTTGGCTGGGAAACAAACTATGCGTGGTAATTACCTCACCATCGCTAGCAAAAGAAGTGGTTCGCGACCATGATATAACATTTTCTGAGCGGGATCCTCCCATTGCTGCACAGGTTTCTACCTTTGGCTGCAATGATATTGCATTTGACTCCTACAGCAGTCCCACCTGGAAAAAGAAGCGAAAAATTCTTGTAAGCGGGATGCTTAGCAGCGGTAGCCTTAATGCCTTTTATGGTCTAAGGAAAGAACAAGTAATGAATACCATTGGGGAAGTCTATAAAAACGTTGGCGAGCCAATTGATGTTGGTGAATTGTCATACTTAACGGCAATCAATGCGGTCACCAGCATGGTGTGGGGAGGAAAACTTGGAGGAGAGAAACGGGCTACGATTAAGGGGCACTTCAAAGAGATTTCTTCAGAATTAGCGATCTTATTGGGAAAACCAAACGTTTCTGATATTTTCCCCGCGATTGCACGGTTTGACATACAAGGTATTGAGAGAGGAGTAAAGAAAGTCATTCATTTGTTCAATCAACTTTTTGATTCTGTAATTGAACTAAGAACGAACGTGGCCACCGAGAAGGATAAAGTCGATGGAAAGAGTGAACAAAAATCAGACTTCTTGCAGATGCTCTTGGAACTCAACAAGAATGAACATAGCGCATCATCTATTACAATGAATCAAGTCAAGGGTATGCTCATGGTAAGATTTTTTTTTAAAAAATTTTTTTAGCATACCTCAATTTTCCTACTTTATGTTTTGGGTTCTGATTTGGGGAATTGGTGCTAATAATTTTTAACTGGACATTGTGGTTGGTGGAACGGATACTACATCAACTATGGTAGAGTGGACAATGGCAGAGCTAATACAACATACAGAAATAATGGAAAAAGTGAAGAAAGAATTAACTGATGTTGTTGGACTAGACAAGAAACAGTTGAGGAGTTTCACTTGCCTAATTTAAGATACCTAAATGCGGTTGATAAAGAAACCTTCCGATTGCACCCAGCCCTTCCCCTCCTTGTTCCCCGTTGTTCTGGAAAATCAATCACTGTTGGTGGCTATACCATTCCAAAGGGCAGCAGGGTCTTCTTAAATATTTGGTCCATTCACAGGGACCCCCATATTTGGGACAATCCTTTACAATTTCAGCCTGACAGGTTCCTGAACGATCCTGACAAGTTTGATTATTATGGAAGTGATTTCCGGTACATGCCATTTGGCTCTGGAAGGAGAAAGTGTCCAGGACTTACCCTGGGGAGAAGATGCTATATTTCATATTGGCCTCATTGCTGCATTCTTTTGACTGGAAATTGCCCCAGGGCACAGAGCATGACCTGTCCAGCAAATTTGGACTCGTTGTGAAGAAAAAGAAGCCTTTACTTCTGATTCCGACGCCAAGGTTACCTAATCTTGAGCTCTACAGAAAGAAACAGCTATAATGTACTGGTACTATACTACTATTGTATCTCTTTTATATTAAGGCAAAAGTGCCA